ACAAATAAACTGACATAAATGGAATATTTCAATCTTCAATGTGGAAATACATTTTCTTCTCAATAACATATGGATCCGGGGGCTGGGGATGTGGCTCAAGCGGTAGCGCGCTCGCCTAGCATGCGTGCGGCCCGGGTTCGATCCTCAGCAGCACCACATACCAACAAAGATGTTGTGTCTGCCGAGAACTAAGAAAAAATAAATAAATGTTAAAATTCTCTCTCTCTCTCTCTCTCCCCCTCTCTCACTCTCTCTTTAAAAAAAAAAAAAAAAAACATATGGATCCTTCTCTAAAAAAGACCATATATTATGCGACAAAGCAACTCTTAGCAAATATAAAAAAGTAGAGATACTATCTTGCATTCTATTGGATCATAATGGCATGAAATTAGAAATCAAAAAATAGAAGCTACTCCAACACCTGGAGACTAAATAGTATGCTACTAAATGAATAACAGGTTTTGAAAGACATGAGGAAGAATATTAAAAAATTCTTAGAGGTGAAAAGGAACACAGATACAACGTATCAAAATCTCTGGGACACTATGAAGGCAGTACTAAGAGGAAAGATCATTTCATGGAGTTCATTCCTTAAAAGAAGAAAAAGTCAGGCTGGGGATGTGGCTCAGCTGATAGAGTGCTTGCCCAGCATGCACAAAACCCTGAGTTCAGTCCCCAGCACCAAACGAAGAAGAAAGAAGAAGGGAGAAGAAGAAGAAGAAAAAAGTCAACAATTAAATGACTTAACACTACATTTCAAAGCCCTAGAAAAAGAACAAATCAACACCAAAAGCTATAGAAGACAGGAAAAATTAAAATCAGACAAAAGAAACAATTAAAAAAAATTGACAAAACAAAAAGTTGGGTCTTTGATAAAATAAATAAAATTGACAAACCCTTGGCCATGCTAATGAAGAGAAGGAAAGAGAAAACTCAAATTACTAACATGTGATGAAAAAGGAAATATCACAGCAGACACTTCAGAAATACAGAAGATAATTAGAAATTACTTTGAAAACTTCTACTCCAATAAAATAGAAAATATCAAAGGCATCGACAAATTTCTAGAGTCATATGATTTGTCCAAATTGAATCAGGATGATATACACAATTTAAAAAGATCAATTTCAAGCGATGAAATAGAAGACACCATCAGAAGCCTACCAACCAAGACAAAGTCCAGAACCAGAAGGACACACAGCTGAATTCTACAAGACCTTTAAAGAAGAATACCAGTTTATCATAGCCATATGATCATCTGAAGAGATGCAGAAAAAGCATTCAACAAAAGAGCACCACTTCATGTTCAAAACACTAGAAAAACTAGGGATAACAGAAACATATCTAAACATTATAAAGGCTTTCTATGCTAAGCCCCAGGCTAACATCATTGTAAATGGAGAAAAATTAAAAGCATTCCCTCCAAAAACTGGAACAAGACAGGGATGCCCTCTGTTACCATTTCTATTTAACATAGTTCCTGAAACACTGGCCAGAGCAATTAGAAAGATGAAGGTTACGGATAGAAAAAAGAACAACTCAAATTGGCACTAGATGCCAACGGTATAATTCTATACCTAGAATACCCAAAAAATTCCACCAGAAAACTTCTAGAACTAGTAAAGAATTCAGCAAAGTAGCAGGATATAAACTCAACATCCATAAATCAAAGGCCTTTCTGTATATCATTGATAAGTTCTCTGAAAGGGAAATAAGGAAAACTACTCCATTTACAATAGCCTCAAAAAGACATAAAATACTTGGGAATCAACTTTGCAAAAGAGGAGAAAGACCTCTCAACGAAAACTACAATATGCTAAAGAAAGAAATTAAAGAAGACCTTAGATGATGGAAAGATCTACCTTGTTCTTGGATAGGCAGAATTAATATTGTCAAAATGACCATACAGTGTACAGATTTAATACAATTCAATCAAAATCCCAATGACAAGCCTCATAGAAATAGAAAAAATAGTCATGAAATTCATCTGGAAAAATAAGAGACCCAGAATAGCTAAAGCAATCCTCAGCAAGAAAAGTGAAGCAGGTAGTATAAGTCTAACAAGCCTTAAACTATACTACAGAGCAACAATAACAAAAACAGCATGGTATTGGCACCAAAATAGACTAGTAGACCAATGTTACAGAATAGAGGACACAGAGACTAACCCACAAAATTACAATTATATTATATTAGACATAGGTGCTAAAAACATACATTGGGGAAAAATGACCTCTTCAACAAATGGTGCTGGGAAAACAGTAAATCCATATACAACAAAATGAAACTAAACTCATATTTCTTACCATACACAAAACTTAACTCAAAATGGATCAAGGACCTAGGAATTAAACCAGAGACTCTGTGTCTAACAGAAAAAAATAAGTAGGCCCTAATCTTCATCATGTAGGATTAGACCCCAACTTCCTTAATAAGGCTCCTATAGCGCAAGAATTAAAACCAAGAATCATTAAATGGGATGGAATCAAACTACAGAGTTTCTTCTCAGCAAAAGAAACAATCTGTGAGGTGAAGAACCTACATACTGGGAGCAAATTTTTACCCCTCACACATCAGATAGAGCAGTAATCTCTAGGGTATATAAAGAACTCAAAAAGCTAAATAGAAAAAAAAAAAAAACACAAATAACCCAATCAATAAATGGGCCAAGGACCTAAACAGACACTTCTCAGAAGGAGATATACAATCAACCAACAAACAACCCAATCAACAAATGGGCAAGACTTGAACAGACACTTCTCACATACAATCAATCAACAAATATATGAAAAAATGCTCATCATCTCTAGCAATCAAAGAAATGCAAATCAAAACTACTCTAAGATATCATCTCACTGCAGTCAGAATGGCACCTATTATGAAGACAAACAACAATAAGTGTTGGCAAGGATGTGAGAAAAAGGTACAATCATACATTGCTGGTGGTACTACAAATTGGTGCAGCCAATATGGAAAGCAGTCTGGAGATTCCTTAGAAATCTGAGAATGGAACCACCATTTGACCCAGTTATCCCTCTCCTCGGACTATACCTAAAGGACTTAAAAACAGCATACTACAGGGACACAGCCACATCAATGTTTATAGCAGCACAATTCACAATAGCTAAACTGTGGAGCCAACTTAGATGCCCACTTCAGTGGATAAATGGATAAAAAAAAATGTGGCATATATACACAATGGAATTTTACTCAGCAATAAAAGAGAATAAAATCATGGCTTTGGAGAAGATAATGCTAAGTGAAGTCAGCAAATCCCCAAAAAAGAAATGCTGAATGTTTTCTCTGATATAAAGAGGCTGATTCATAGTGGGGTAGGCAGGGCAAGCATGAGAGAAATAAATGAATTATAGATAGGGTAGAGGGGTGGGAGGGGAAGGGAGGAGGCAGGAAATTAGCAAGGATGGTGGAATATAATGGATACCATTATCCAGAGACACGAATTGGGTGTCAATCTACTTTATATACAAACAGAGATATGAAAAATTGTGGTATATATGTGTAATGAGAACTGTAATGCAAAAAAAAGTACATGTATAAAGACATGAATTGGCGTGAACACACTTTATGTACAAAGATATAAAAAACTGGGCTCTATATGTGTAATAAGAATTTTAATGCATTCTGCTGTTGTGTATTTTAAAAATAAAATCAATTAAATTAAAAAAAGATGATGACTATTAAAAAAATACAACTGTTTCTTTTTCTGAAATTCTTTCCTTCCTTGTTCTCTGGGAAACCTACAAATAATTCACTATAAATAATTATGATTAAAACATAGTTAAAATCTACATGAATATAAATGTGATTAAAGAAACAAAAGAATATAGGTCATATACTAGAAATTTAGATTTAAATAAAAGACTAAACAAGATAAAAAGACCAAATTTAAAGATCTTAAGGATCTAAAATCTCTTAAGGAAATATAGTCAATTATAAAGTAGCTGTTTTCTAGAATTTATCAATTTTCTTTAAACTTCATGTTTAAAACTATTTACTAACTTACTGAACTTTCAAATATTACATGTGTCTTTGGATCAAAATCAGTGAAAGTGAAAAAAGTTTAATTATGAAAATTTGTCAGAACTTACAAAAACTCTGTGAGGTTATAGTTATTCTGAAATAAAGACTATTCCTTAAATTTAGTAATATAATTTTATAAAGACTCTGCAGGAGAGATAGATAAAATCAGGTTAATCACAAAATATTTGCGAGTGGATGGCAGGCATAACGATCTATGTCTGAAATCCCAGGTATTCAGGAGGCAAGAGGATTGCCTCCATAATTTAGCAAGAACCTGTTTCAAAAATAAAATAAAAAGTGTAGCTCAGTGGCTTCACTGGCTTCAATCCCTTGTACTGCTAAATAAGTTTAACAAGAAGAACAAAGGAATTTAACAAACTCTTTACAACTGGACATAGTAAAAACTTTTCCATGTTTGCAAATATGCTAGGAAAGTTACAATTTTATGTACTTAATCACAACATTTTATCTTAAAACTTAGAATACTAAAAGCTAAATTGTAATGCAGGGTTTCTTAGCCCTGCATTAGGGACTTCTTTGTTGTAGGGGCTGTCCCGAATACTCAAAAAATTTTAGCAGACCCTTGTCATCCACCCACAAGATGCTCTGAAATGTCTCCAGACATTTCCAATGTACCTGTGGAAATAAAATCACCTGCAGTTGAGAGTCACATTAATGTATTGCTGTTTTAAATGGGTTTTGATTAAAACATAGTTAAATATATATATAATAGAACTCATGTGTGTGAAAGAGTGTGAGACCAAGAAAAGAGGCCATGAGAAAGAACTTTGAAAATTCTGCAGATATCTAGAATTCAAAGCAGTGTGAAAGAATAATAGCATTATTACAGAGTAAAAGCTTTCTGTTCCATCAGAAAGAAAACTTTGCCATTGTTAAAAAACAATTTAAAATGTCATGTAAAAGCATCACTCAAAAAACTGAAATAAATAAAATCTTACTTTTCCCTATGGTACTTTGTACCGGCTCTTGATCCCAATCTTTAGGACGTACATTTGCTTTACTATCTGATTTAATTGCAGATTGTTTTGATGATAAAGATGAAAGTTCTAGAGCATTGTATGAATCAAACAAATCCCAGGTAGTGGCCATCATGCCTAAAGAGAAAGAAAGGAAAAATTATTTGAAATCAAAACTATTGTATCGGATTTACACAAAATCAGTCATAGCAAAATCTAAGAATATCTAGTACTTTTTTTTTTTAAATCACTGTTTTTATAATAATGGCAGAAAGTAAATAAAGATGACAAATTCATGAGGCCACCTCAAGAGATCCTCTGTCATCACACTATTAGCATATACAAATACCTTAGTGCTTTAGGGATAGCTCCAAATTATCCTTACTGTAATTTCTGATCTCCACACCTCTTTTCCTTTTTCAAGCTTATATGTTATAATATCAGCAGTCTGTTATTATGGGTCCACTTAGTGATATGGACCTGGATAATAACATGATAAGATTTTTATATTCTTACATATCATGGTCAACACATACATATTATAGTCTCCAGATCTGTTTATTTGAAAAGAAATGATTCCATTTTTATCCAGTAAAAATTTCTTATATTCCTATTAATGTGAAAGGTTATACTTGTTGAGAAAATGACAAATTCTGTTTTCAAGAAATTTGGAGAGCGGGGCTGGAGATGTGGCTCAAGCGGTAGCGCGCTCGCTTGGCATGCGTGCGGCCCGGGTTCGATCCTCAGCACCACATACCAACAAAGATGTTGTGTCCGCCGAGAACTAAAAATAAATATTAAAAAATTCTCTCTCTCTCTCTCCCTCCTCTCTCACTCTCTCTTAAAAAAAAAAAAATTTGGAGAGTAGTAGGGTTATTATCTCTTTTTAAACCTTGTTTAAGTTTGTTAAATTTGTTCATATCATCTAAAAATAACAATAGTCCCCAAACAAAAACTGGGCATATTACTAATCTTCAAATAATAATAATAATTTAAAAGTTGCAACCCCTTTCACTGCTGATTTATACCACTTTTTAGCAATTATTTTGTCAGTGATCACAAACAATATATTTCTAAATGTTAAACTTCCTAACTTTCAGTTAAATCATGGTGTTTTAATAAAATAATTCTTTTCCTTAAAAATTAAAAATAGAATCTAAACTCAATAAATGCAGTTACTTCATTGCTAGAACTATTGTTTTCCTAATATGAAATGAAGGAGCTTTGGTATCTAATGTTTTCTTTTTTTTCTTTTCTTTTTTTTTTTTTTAAAGAGAGAGAGAGAGAGAGAGAGAGAGAGAGAATTTTTAATATTTATTTTTTTTAGTTCTCGGCGGACACAACATCTTTGTTGGTATGTGGTGCTGAGGATAGAACCCGGGCCGCACACATGCCAGGCGAGCTCCCTACTGCTTGAGCCACATCCCCAGCCCTCATATCTAATGTTTTCAATAAGTAAGAATACTAACTCAAAATTTCATAATTTTCTATCTTAATGAAATTTTTTAATAGCATCTAATGAGTAATACAAAGAATAAATATTACTATATTTTAATGAATTGGAAAGAGTACAATTTCTATGTTTATAAAGAGATCTAAGAAAGAAATTATATCCATGAATATTGAATTACTTTTTTTTTTTTTTTTGGTAACCTTTAACTGAAAGTGTGGTAAGCTCAGTATGTAGGAATATATTGTTACACAGTCATTAATAATATAATTGCTACACAAATAAATATACATATTACAAATTAGAATGTTAAGATATTAGGGTGATTTAAAACTTTTTTATTTGAAGACAACAAATTACTGCTAATTTTAGTTTGAACATAATTACTTTTCTTAGTTTAAATAAGTTTAACAGAAAACCTCCAACCCATCAAACTATAAGTTAAATATTTTCATTTTTATATATCAAATATATATACCTCAATGATAAATAAATTTATGTCTCAAAAAATATATTTACATATCTCAATAAAGCTGTTAAAAAATAAAATCTCAAGCTACAAGCCCTAATATTATGTTCAAGAAGAGTAATAAATAAAAAAAGACTGCATTTTCCAATTTTATAGTTATATATTATTAAAGCTCTTAATTTAACTGGTAACAGAAAAAAAGTAGTTTAAATTATACTTTTTTTTTTTTTCAGCATTTCTGGGTTGGTCTAAGATATTTCCAGTGGGAAATGGGTTGTGATAGGAGAGTGTCCAGGAGCTTTAAACAATTAAGGGTGTTCTATTTGTTAGGCTGGCTAGTAAAGCACATGGAATCAATTCTTTCTTTACACTATACACTTCTATTAGTGGTAGTATTTCACAATAAATGTTTTTTAAGTATTAAATACATTAGTTACACTAAATATTTCAAATACAACCAAGTAAATAGTAAGGTTTAATCATACAATAAAAGCATATCTCTTCTCTGCCTGATTTTGAATGAAACTCCAAGATAGATGCACAAAATAAATGGAGATCAAAATATTACCTTCATTACTGGTAAGGGTGATTGAAAAATGTGGTCTTAAATCTACAACTAAACAGATTAAATACTTCTTTACTTCAGAATGTATGGAATAAATACTAACTAGCATAGCTAGATACGCAATAACCTGTTCAGCAGGGGTGAGATCAGAATGCAAGCCTTCTGGAAGTGAAAAATCATAACTAAAAAATTTGGAAGTGGTCGAGCTTTAATTCATTTTCCTAAAAATTTCGTTATCATATTAGTCATTTTTCCTTTCTTAGGAATGAATGAATAAAGTACACAGAGAGGTCTGAAATTATTAATTTAGCTGAATTACTTCTGTAAAGATTCACTTAATGTGAGAATGACTTTCCCCTGACAATATACATATAGCAAATTCTGGTAAAGGTGGTTGTTCAAATAACTGAATTTCTTCAATTTATCTAAAGACACCTAATAGAAAGGAGATCAGGAACTAAATTAAGAGCAGTAATGGCAAGCTATATACAGAGAAAAATCCAGGTAGATAACACTGTGTGAGGGGTGGTGGGGGGGTGTCTTTCACTCCATTAATATTATATATTACATAGATTGATTTCCATATGTTGACCCCCTCTTGTATCAGTGGGATAAACACTACCTGACCATACTGTATAATCCACTTAATATGCTGCTGAACTGAGTTTATTTATACTTCGTTAAGGATATTTACATCCATAATAATAATGAACATTGGTCTGTAGTTTTCTTTTATTTCAATTTCTTTATCTGACTTTGGCATCAGAATAATGCTGGTCTCATGAGTTTCAAAATGTTCCGTTCCTTTTATTACCTTCTCATTTTTTAAAAGATTTGTATTAAATCTTCTATAAATGATTCATAGAATTCACCTGTAAAATCTTTGATAGGAGGTTTTTGGTTACTAATTCAAGCTCTTATTGTTTTAGTAAGCTTTAGCATCACTGTGACCAAACTACCTGACAAGAACAACTTAGAGGAGGAAAAATTTATTTTTCCATATGGGTATCAGAGGTCTCAGTCCATAGAGGCTCCATTCCTCTGGGTCCAAGGTTGAGGCCGAGTATGAACTCACTAGGTTCCAGCTCTCATAATCCAATTACTATATATCTGAACACTTCTGCACGAACACAAGACACTGGGGAATGTCTTATATCCAAACTATTAAATCTGTCATGCATCTGTTGAGATTTTCTATTTCTCCTTGAGTCAGTTTTGGCACTTTGTGTGTGTCTAGGAATTTGTCCATTTTATTTAGTTATCTAATTTATTGGCATACAATTGTTCGTAGTATTATATTATAATTCATTTTGTTTGGGGAAGGTCAGGAATCCCACTTTCACTTCTGATTCTGGTAATCTGAATCATTTCTCCATTTTTGGGTAGTCAATCTTGCAAAAGTTTTGTTAATTTTGTCTATCTTTTCAGACTACCAACTTTTTTTATTTACTAGTTCTGAAATCTTCTTATCTCCACTCTAAACTTTATTATTCCCTTCCTTGTGCTAGCTTTTGTATCTTTACATCTTAAGGTATAAAGTTAGGTTACTGGTCTAACCCAGACCTCACACTTGCTAGGCAAACATTCTACAATGAGCTATATCAGCTATAAATTTCGCCCTAAGCATTGCTTTCACTGCAGTCCATAAGTTCTAGCATATGGTATTCTCATTTTTATTTGTCTAAAAGTATTTTTCAACTTCTCTTGTATTTTATTCTTTAACTTACCAGTTATTTAAGAATATGCTGTTGATTTCTACATAATTGTGAACTTTCCACTTTTCCATCCATTATAGATTTTTAGTTTCATTACACTATGGTCAGAAAAGTTCTCCAGATGATTTCAAAATTTAAAATTTTATAAACTCATGTTTTGTGTCTTAATATAATGGTCTATCTTAATGTTGCATGTAAACTTGAGAAAAATATGTATTTTGCTGTTTAGAGGTTGAGTATTCTGTGTATGTTTGTTATTCTAGTTAGTTTATATTGCCATTAAAATCCTATATTTTCCTACTGATCTTGTTCATTGTTCATAATTGGCAGTGGTATATTGAAACTATTATTGTAAAATTGTTGATTTTATCCTCCAACTGTGTCCATTCTTGCTTTGTATCTTTTGGGTTTTTCTTGTTAGGTGTATGTGTTTATAATTGCAATATCTTCTTTATAGATGTTTTTGTTTCTTATAACAATTTTTCTAAAGACTCTTGCATAATACTAGTATAACTGTCTTAACTTTCTTTTGGTTTCTATTGGCACCCTTTCGCATATACTTGTGTCATTGGATCTAAAAACCCTACTCCTTACACAGCTCCATCCCACCACTTTATGTTGTTTTCAAAATTATGTTTACACATTATATGCCCATTAACATAGTCTTATAATTATTGTTTTTTTTTTGGAGAGTGGGTACTGGGGATTGAACTCAGGGGCAGTCAACCACTGAGTCCTTTATGAGTCACTTTTCTATTATTGCTTTCAAGATTTTTCTCTTTGTCTTTTGACAGTTTAATTATCTAGTGTTTCTACCTGGATGTCATTGTTTATCCTTCTTATAGTTTGTTGACCCTCTTGGAAGTGCAGATTTATGTCTTTTATCAAATTTGAAAAGACTCTGGTCATTTCTTCTTCAAACATTCTTTGCATCCTTTA